CAGACGCAAAGTGGCAGACACTCCCGTCAGTCAGCTTCGCTGCCCTGTTACAAACAGCCATGAATCCTTCCTGTCGGATTTTGGATGTTCCGTGTATAACTCAGGAGCGTCCTTCCTCAAGTGATCACAACTGACCTTGAAAGTTGTTACTGCTATGAGCTGATGAATATTTTGGATGACCTCATCACCCTTCCCTGCCCACAAAGATCCCTCTCACCATTTTCCCAGTCTCCAGCTGGTACAGGGTACAGAGGATCGCTGGCTTTTCTAACACCTTTGGGCCATTTAAAGACTGCAGCAGTTCGCTGAATGGGTCCCAAGGCAGCCACCACACATGAAACCCAAAGTGAATGCAGCGTGAAGCGGTGCTGCGTTTCATCCCAGCGCTGACATTAATTCTGTTGCTGCTCTTCTTCATTTTGGGCTTGATAGACTTGAGAAAAGCACCGCTATTTTCAACTTCTACTTCTTTTAACCAGCCGAAGTATTTGGTATTGTGCGTGAAGAGAGAGAAGGAAATCCAAGCAAAATCTCACATTCCCACCTCAAATCCAAATCAACCTCCACCTTCCTCATCCAAAAAAACCTTCCAAAACTAGAAAACAGATTAAAGCAAACCAGAACTCAAAGTGTCTAGTTAATCTTCCAAAGCTACGTGTAAGTATTATGAAAATTAAGGCCACATAGTAATGCAATTCACAGGAAGTCCGCCTGGCAGTAAACTATGAAGTTGAAGACCTATGTCCTTGTGGCCTAGAATCTGCTTTCATCTAGGGATCTCACTGTCTTGTACCAAAATTCATTCATCAACTCCACTACACTTTCCAAATTTCAACTTTGCACTTTCTGTGCTCTAAGACTTGGATCAGTACGACTGGAAACTGCAAACTGGCCTCTAAATGTAAGGCTTAAATGTGTTTTAAAATAAAAATCCTGTGCGTCCACCATCGCGCTGCCACAGGACACCAATAACCTATACTGTCCTTGTCCACAGTTGCCTAGGAACAACACGGCTTCAGTGGAACCCCACATTTAACTCCAAGGATCCTCGGATCAAGCAAGGCTTTTCATCCCTTTCATCCCTAAGTGCTCAATTGCTCTCAAAGTTAGGTGGGCCAAGCCCCCGTTTAAGAGTTACCTGACACAGCCACAGCATACACGTGCATTGCTGCACTTCTCCCCCTCCATGCCTGGTGCTCTACAACCTGCTGCACAAGTTGGGATCCGCTGACGGCGGGAAGGGACATCTCTGCCCTTCTGCAGGGTGGGAAACAAATGGCTTCTTACCATACTGAAGCTTACTGCTGCTCGAGGACTGGTAATCAGGAAATGCCTTCCTCTTCTTTTTCAAATATAAAATACAATTTCTTTTTTAAACCAAACATGACATTTGTGATGTTCATCTGATGAGAAAAGTATAGATTGTGGGGTTTTTTTTCCTCAAAATCTTAACTAACAGCATCAGAGTCGGAATTCAGCAAATGATTACCTGTAGGTTTCGGTTCCTCCGCTGTTCTTAAAGTTTACTTTACATTCTAGATTACCTTTGAAAGCAGTTTACATAAACGTAAGAACTATATATTCAGTCAGGAAAGAATCTATTTGCAAAGGCACCAGAGAAGCACAGAACAACATTGCCAAGAAAACAAATGCAGACTTAAATTCTCCCCAATAAATACACACATACATTCACATCGCTCTGTATCTACAACACATCCAATAGAACCATTTCCTTAATAAGCTCTTCTCTAGCTGAAATTTGTTTTCATTCAGAAAGTAATTTATTAAAAAAAAAGTGTTCCGTGACTTGGAGCAATAAGATTTATCTAATGTATAAGGCTTTTCTACACACCTTCTATCCAAATTATAGGCAAAAAGAACTCCAATAAGGAAAGTAAAGGTTGTGACACAAATTAGAGTCAGCATTTCTAGAAGAAATAATGACTTTTACTTCACTTTTTCCTAATGATCTTTCCCCAAAAGCTAGTCAGACTGTGAGAACAGGCCTAGTCAACCCATTAGAGCCAAATGCTGGCATTTCTGTTACAGTTACTGGAAAATGAAGCAGTCTTCACTTAAGATAGAAACAAGATTATAGAATCACAGGGTGTTTTGGGTTGGAAAGGGCCTTAAAGATCATCCAGTCCCACCCCCGCTGCCATGGGCAGGGACACCCTCCACTAGACCAGGCTGCTCAAAGCCTCATCCAGCCTGGCCTTAAACACTTCCAGGGATGGGGCATCCACAGCTTCTCTGGGCAACCTGTTCCAGTGCCTCCCCACCCTCTCCATGAAGAATTTCGTCCTGATATCCAATCTAAACCTTCCCACTTTCAATTTAAACCCATTACTCCTTGTCCTGTCACTATAGGCCCTTGTAAAAAGTCCCCCCCCAGCTTCCTTGTAGTCCCTTCAGGCACTGGAAGGCTGCAATAAGGTCTCCCTGGAGCCTTCTCCAGGCTGAATAAGTCCAGCTCTCCCAGCCTGTCCCCATAGCAGAGGTGCTCCAGCCCTCTAAAATATATTATCAGTCTGTCAAAGCCTAGGTAGGAAGATCATTTAAGTATCTGGAAATGGATGGATTGCAAAGAGGAGGAAAAAAAAAAAAAAAAAGAGGTTCAGGGAACACAAAGCTACCATGTTTCCCAATTCATTAAAACAGTATCACAGCTGCCGATGCATTTTAGCATATGCAACAGGTTTCAGGACATAAAATGTAATGAAGAAATAAACCACACTGCTCTCCTACAGCCCTCTAACAGTGCAATCCCTCTGCCAGTGCAGTTTATTGTGTGAAGTACTTAGCCATGCAACGTCAAAAGAAAACATGCAGTGGAAATCAATAGTCTTCACATTAAAAAATCATAAAAGTAACCTTAGATTAATGGCAACTAATATGGTATCTGCAGACAAAATTCTACTTCCCCACACGAAGCCAGAGTTAACTGCACTTCTGCCCCCCTGGAAACGGTGGGAAGGGCAGGCAAAGGATGCCATCCCCGTGGTCATCTGAAAACCTCAGCAACTCTGGGAAGGATCCAGGGAAGATGCATGAAATGAAGGGCAAGTCCTTACTGCTCTCAGCGCTGGCTAATGCACGAGAACTGCAGCTCCGCTGACTTCCATGGGCATTGTCAGAACTACCAGTGTTGGAAGGGAACAGCAGCAGTTGGCTCTAAGCCTCTCACTGACGAGCAAATTTCAAACTTCAAGTGAAAGGAAGAGTTGAGTGCTCATAATTAAAAAAGGAAAACTTGACAAGTTCCATTTACTGCAGCCTCATGGCTTTTAACCCAAAACCCATTTGCTTTGCTACAGGCTCAAGTCTCAAACTTGTCACACGCTGATGTACCAAACTTGGCATTTAACACACAAGCCAAAAATGGGCTCTTCAGGTTTAACAAATCACTGAAGAAGGCTGGAACCAGTCACAAATCATAAGGAACATAGCGTGAAAGTCTCTTCTGCTGCTCTCCGGAGTTTTTTGCTGCGCTGTCACAGTGTCACCTTGTGCTTCTAGGATTTAGACTCAGAACTAATGAGACAGAAGTAAAGGTCATATTTCCTAAGAGAGGATTTCTTAAAGTCAACACGTTCAATCTGTCAAACCTCTTTGCAAAATACAAACTGTGTACCTATACAGGTTAGTTAGCCCCATCCTGTGCTAACACCCAGTCATTAGGCCACAAGAAACACACACTCGCTACTGTCTGTCAGAAATACCATCCTTTTAGAAACTGCACCTTTAAGAAGTTAAATAAATCCTCCATGGAAGATTTCTTAACAGACCCAACAAGAAGTGGCTGCACTGAAGCACTTAATCATCTCCTGATTTTTCATTTCATGCTTTCAGCACTCGCCACTTGTGCAAGTCCCTTTTCTAAGGCCCAGTTCTAAAGTCAGTTGGGCTCTTAAAAGCCTTTATTTAAAGTGATTAAACAATGCCCAATTTCAAACCCATGCTTGAGTGCTTTTAAAAGATGTTGCCTTAAACTGACCTACACTTGACTTGTTGGTGGAGTTCTTACGGGTGCAGTGCAGAGAAGAAAGGGTTTAGTGCTCCAAAGCAAATATTAACCCATTAGGTAGCACTCACGTGCAAACTATTTCAAAGCCAAGAAATTAAGCCAAGATTGCAAGATGAGAAGTGACTGATTAACAGTTCTGTGACAACTGTGCATGTTGAATTAAACTGGCTTATCACTTCTCTCTCCCTTTTGAAATATTAATGCATTTCACACTGTTCCATACCATGCTGACTTACATATCTAGCAGAAAAGGCAGTGCTCCACGGATAATCTCTGTACATCACTTACTCTCTGAAACACTGGTACTTCAGCAAAGAAGCACCCAAGAACATTAACATCAAGGCGCCCCGTCTACAGCTCTTACAGGGTGCGCTTCCTACGGCTCACATGTGGCAGATCTGAAGATTACCAAGACCAGCACTAGAACATTCAGGGTTTCCCTCCTTTAAATGTCTACTTCTAGAACATGAATAATCTCCAGCACTGAAGATAAATGAACCTAAGAGAATAAATGGAAGACTTATTGGCAGTGTTTCAGGACACTCCTGTGACTTCATGCAACAGACTGATCTTACAGCGAAGCTGAAGAATATGTACCCTGCAGGCTTGCGAGGCGTCAATTATTGCCACAGAAATAATGAGCCTTGCACGTGGAAAACCAACGGCATCAATCATTTATCTTTCAGAATATATTTATCCCCACCCCTAAAATGTACATACAAAGTTAGTATTTCCAAACAGAGAGTATTTCAGTTTCCTGCCACAGAGGAAATGCCAACCTGTTCTCTCAGGCGACGGCAACGCAAATATGAGCGGGAAGGAAATGTGAACTTTCAGACCAATTCCTTCAAACTCACAGAATATTCACTTTGGATACAGCCATTAAGAAGAACTACTGACACTTTTTTTCACATTTTCCCTTTGCAGCACCCAGTGAACACAAGTTCTTACGCACTCTCCAGCGTGCACTTACCCTCAGCTCAACTTCTTTGCCAAGTAAGTCGTACAGACTTGCTCCTTTGGAGGTGATTTCAGAAGCAAGCTGTCTAGCTGCCTTCAAGTCAGCAACCTGCAAACACAGCAACAGCACTGAGAGAATCCCCAATATCCCAAAGAATATCCACAACAGAGTTTTCCCATTTTGATGGTGAAATTGCACAGGAGATCTGCACAGTCACTGAAAATCTACCATAGGATTGAAGAGGTAGTCCACTGGAATCAGACTGAGCCTGTCTCTTGGCTTTAAAACGGCACCATTTAGATGTGGGCTTTGGGGTGAAACCCCAGCCACTTTAGGCCAACAAAAAAAAAGAAAGAAACCTCTTGAAAATGTTGCTCAAAAGTTGTTTATTCATCTGCTGCCCAGGGCAAAGGGAAACATCACCTTTTTCAGATGCAAAAGTACCAAAAGGAATGTGACCAGCACATGGAATAGGTAATGAATATTGACCATCCTTGAGTGCTTTTTCATTATTTCTTCAGGCACACCCCAGACTCACAGAGAGGAAACATCGCCTGTGGTTCTGCCTTCTTTCAAGAATGGCAGTATTATGGCCTAGCAAGCAGGCATGACACTGTAGAGCTATAAAAGAATCAAAGACTAAAAATACTAGAATACAGAAGAGGTGGTAAAAATTAATAAAAAGCAGTAACAGGAATTCCTCTTATTTAACAAAGTGTTGGGGGGTGGTGGTGGTGTTTAATATCTAGAGATGGCATTTATTTTAAGGGCTTGAGCAGCTTTGATGTCTGTTAGGGTAACATGATTTATTTCCCTTTCCTTCAGTGCAAATGGGCTGAAAACCATCCTTCTGTCAGTATTTTGCAAACTCCTCCTGTTGCAACAAGGTTAGGAGATAGAAAACAGTCTTCATTCTGGCCAACGCCAATATCCCTATGATTTCAACAGCAGTCCAAACCAAAGATAATGGATTTTGGGCCACTGTTGCCTTGCCTTATGTTCCTGGTTGAGAATTCACAGGGATTAGACCAAATCATAGCATACAACCTCAACTAGAGAAAGTATGAGTTAAAATCATACATACCCACTCCCTTGTGAGAACGTTCTCTACTTCAGTTTCAGTTAGCAAATGGATTTGTTTCTCACAAGTTAACACAAAACCCCTGCCTAAAACAAGAGGACAAGTTTTGCTTACTTTTGAGCCAAGATCAAACTTGAACTTGCTGCCGTCTTCCTCGCTCGTGTCCGCACGTTCCACCCCCTTGGTATTCATAGCTCCATACAGCACAGAGGTGACCTTCAGCAGCTCCTTCACTGCATAGCCATCTGCCTGGTAAAGCTTCTTAGTGTTGAGCTTGATGTGAGCTTTGGTAGCCTTTGGGAAGAAAGAATGAATTCATCATGTCACAAAGAATAAAATCCTTCCACCTCTTCACCCAAAAGCTCTTTTTGGGGAGCACCATGCTCTGCTTTACAGAAATAAATCTTCCTGTTTGGAAACACAACTTTGCCTCATCATATTACTGATGTTTCTAGAAGAAATTTTTCTGAAACACGTGCACTTTCTGCATGTCAGAACATTTGCAGATAATTGCCAGAATAAAAAAACCCAAATTATCCATTAATTCTTCCCTGCATGAAGATCAGCAAAAACCCTGTGCACCACTTAAATTCAAATTAAGTTTAAGTGGAACGTAAGTGCTGCCCAGGTCTTGCGATGATGCTGCAGAGAGGTAAATTTCACCCTTAATGAGTTACAAGAATAAGATCAATTACCCTAATTTAACTGTCTTCTCTTCCAGCAGTACCTTCAGAATATTTTATTGTTTCTCTCAAATTTTTCCCTGCTACGATATTAATGATTTTATTCCCTTGTCTTCCATCTCTGAAAAGTACAGACAGACCAGTAAGGAAAAAACCTATTAAAAATTATAATATTATCTTTTTACACTTCAAAATAACAAAGGGAGAAAAAGAACATAATAGAAATGATGCATCTGTCACAGAAAGGACACAAACGTTGTTCTTGAAATTCCTGACAAGATCATATCATAAACTCTTAGGCACAAGGAACCAACACCAAACTTCAGGGAAAACTTTGAGGCAGTCCTCCTGATGGCACGACTGAACAGGCAAGCAAACAAAAATTGATCACAATTACATTATGCATACAAAAACTAAGCATCCAAATGACTTAACGTGTTCTTTTTATATCTTTTTAAAACAAAACTTCTGCTGAAACACTGTCCTTTGGGAATACTGTGTGGCAGAAAGAATCTATCCACGATTCAGCCAACTTTGGTATGGCAGTGATGCTGTAAGCAATTCACCCCCTCCTAGGGCTCTGACAGCACACGACCTTCTGTCTGGGGTAAAAGACTCGAACGCTAAAACGGTTGGTGCAGTTTTGCCCATTCTGTTCTGAGCTTCGCTGCATAATTCACTGCAGGAAACTTTCCTATGAAACTAAAGAGAGAAGGGAGCCCAGATTTAGCTCCAACTTTTCAAAGAGCAAGGGAAACAAAGCAAAGAGTTGTTGGCCCTTGTTTCTTCGTACGCCTCTTGTCAAACACTGTGACTTCACAATCAGGTTTCCATTTCTGAGAAATGTTTACCTCTTGCCCCTCTCGTCCCAAAATCTCAACCCAGCAGAGGAAACTGACCCTGCATCTGCTTCCTGATGGTAGGAATTCAGCTGAAAAGGGAAGTCAAAACTTCCAGAACAGGTTATGATGTACACCCTGAGCCAGAGGAATAGGAGACTTATGGTACAAAAACCCCTAAAAGCTGCTGAAAATTTTGACCAGCGTGACCTCAAATAAGCCAGTAGACAAAGTGGAAAGCCAGATATGTTCCCCTTCCTTCCCTCTCTGTAGAGGAAATCTAAAAAACTAATTGTAGAAACAGTAGGTATTAAATTCTAAGAGAAACGGGTCATTAAATTGACAGAATCTGTTAAACATCCCCTACACAAAGACGACTAATGCACCACATCATAAAAGATGTTGTTAAAGACAAGAATTCCAATTTCAGTTCCATCCAACCCCAAGAGAGAAAAATCAATGTCTAGTAAAAGGAAAGAAAAATGTTTTTCACTCAAAGACTACTTAAAAAGAGGAAAAAGTACACAGAGAAGTACCTGTATTTTTCCAACTGGCATAATGGCACTGCTTACTCAAGAAGGTAACTTCATATGTGGAAAGCTTGAGACAGTCACCTATTTGGTAACAACCCTAAATAGTTTTAAAGTATCATTAAAAATCACCTCCATCTATTCTGAAGATCAGATTATTACAACACAGTGGAAAAGAGAAACAGAAATATACCACAGGAATGGCATCAACACCCAGAAAGTTTGCTTTAAAATCTGCTTTATTATTAGCACAGAGCTAAATTTTGACAGCGTGATGCAAATGCAAACCCAGGCCAGGGAAGAACCAGAACTCCCAGCTGAGGGCTCGAGCCGTTGGGTGGCAGGGCCATGGTCTTTAGCCTGCCTAGCTCAAACGTTTTGCATTCTTTCCTGTACAACGTCACATTCTTGATAGGAAAATGAGGATTGCTCCCACCTCTCTGTCTTGTTCAACACTTAGGATAGTCTCTTGAGTACCGAAGTAGAGGCTCTAAATCTCCACAGGCTGCAATGGGAACTGAACACCATACTCCCAGAAAGTGCTCAGGAAGGTTATTGGCAGACAACTGCTTCTCCCATCACTTTTTAAAAACAAGTATCTGCCTTTTCCAAAAAGTATGGCACCTTGGTTTGCCAAGTATGTTTTCATGAATGCATTTCTATGAGCCTAAACTCACCAGAGGCTTTTTGCTGCGCTCTATCTCAAATTTGGATCCAAGTGGGCTCGAGCAGGAGCCAGGTATTGAGCCACACAGACTAGGGCAGTTCTAGCTCGGCAAATGATTAAAAAAGGACGTAGGACAACCCTGCAGACACTTCAGGAAATTTTGGGTCTGAAAAGGAGACATTTGGTAAGTTCTCAAACTACCAGTAACACAGAGCAATACATAATTTGTGTAAAAAAATTAACACATCTTCACTCCTTGTTCAGTAAAGGAGAGCAATGTTCTAGTTCTAGTTCATGATGATTAATCTGTCCTGATACTCTCTTCTGAGACAAATCTGTCTCCATCAAATCTCACATCTGGCTACAGATGCATAAAGCCATTAGCTATGGGAGAAGATAACTGTGGATTCCACGGACAGTGAATTATTGAGGAAATGTCTCCAAGCTTTTCTCATTCTGAAAATGCTGAAAACCTACAATAATCCCACATTATCTTGTAATATTCACTAAGACTAAATACAGGATGATTAAAGAAATTTCCATTCATTTCATTTTATGAATCATATTATGTAATTCTCCAAAACCCTTGGGATTTCTGACATGAAATCAGCTATTGAAAGGAAAATGTATGCATAACTTATTTCTGCTTTCATACTTGGCCTTTTAAAACATTCATGGTTTGGAGGGGGGAAAGCCCGCCAAACAAAGCAGGTCTGTTCACTACATGTTATGACGCTCCAGGGCTCAGAAGTGCATTCTAGTAGGTACCAAAGTGTCTCACACTCTGAACAGAGTCAAATTAAGAATTAAGAAAATTGATGGTGGGCATCATCACGAGTCAGAAGGGAAAAGCTGGCTTGGTTATAATCTCATTTTAAAATATTTGTTAAAATGAAAGAAGCATTATAAGAAATTAATCTTTGGTATTAGCATAAAGACTTCCACTTCTTCCAGACCCACTCGCTGACCCACTAACTTTTTCCACCTGATTAAGGGTGCAACATAAGTGTGCTGTAACAGCAAGGGCTCATGCTGCTTCAAAATAACAAGAATGATATGAAGGACAATGTTATTTTATTCCAGATAAAAAAAAAGCTGATGGCCCAATTCAAGTACGCTCATGCATAATGTGATACAAGATGTGAGCTGAGAAAAATATGGCTCGATCTAGTGAGTGAGAAGGCTCATCCGATGCAATACCAATATGTGGTTCTATATCACAGTGAAAACTTCTGAAGTTGTGACGATTCCAGCACACAAAAGAATCAGGCATCCAAAGTACAAATATGATGGGATCTCTTCTGAACCCGTTCATATGCAGCCCTGAGGAGAAGGACT